TATTGATCAGACACCCTCCGATAATAAGCCAGATACATTTTGTAACAGTTTGCCCGTGCGCAATACGTTTATTGTCAGACAGCATCATAGGTATGTGTGAACAACATATTGTAGTTATGTGATATGCCCAAGATCATTACAGACTAGTACAGAAAAAACTATTGTATTAAAAAGGTTGTCAATGTTTACTCGTCCATACTGGGCGGGATTTATCGTTATTGAAGGTTCCGCCCGTAGACCAGTTGACCTTGCTTACTCATTCCAGTATCACAACAGCAATGCATCTCATCGATGTTTAATGTACCTTGGGAAAATGGAGAGAAATTAGACAGACTTAGCCATAGCACGTGACAGTACTACTACTACAAAACTTCGAACATCTATTCGGTTTTATAAAATGCGTTGTTTAACGAATCTTCCTAAATACATGATACTCTACCCATTTCTCTGCGTTTGTAGGTGATTTTATGGCAGGTCCTTGATGGTGTGGAGGGATCGCTTAGGTTAAATATAAATATATATATAAATATAAACTTAATTAATTTAACAATTATGAAACAAGTTATTTCAGCTTATATTAATCACTCTTGTTAACCGGGATGGTAGCGTTCGGGGACTTATTGTGGAAGGAAACCGGAGTACCCGGATAAAACCCACGTGGTCGGGCAGGTGACCCCGTACCTTTTAAGATCCGATCGGGGAATCGAACCCCGGTCGCCTTGGTGAAAGGCAAGTGCGCTATACACTGCACTACCCGACGACCCATCGCTTCAGTTCCTGAGTAACTGTTTCGATAGTTTTTTTTTCTCTCATTTCTTTCCATTTCCATTTGTGTTGCCATGGTTTCTGTTTTGGTCTTATCGTTGAACTCCGGCTCGATATTTTTGAGACCTTATATTAGGTTTTCTTAGTTTTAAACAATAAGGACAATTACGGCACCAGTGGTGCAATAGAAGAACACTAACAGCAAGTCGTCTGCCAATTACTTCTTCAATTTGTAGAACAATATAGTTTAAGTTTGAAATAGTTATTTTCAAAATAGCGGCCATGGCAGCCAAATTTGATTTCTGATCGAATCGCAAAATAACAACACTTTGTCAAGACCACGAGTCGATCATTCCTACCAAGTTTCAGTTCAATCGGCCCAGTAGAACTTGACTTTAAGTTTGAAATATTAATTCAAAATGGCTGCCGTGACGGCCATATTGGATTTCTAATCGACCCGAAAAATAACAATACTTTGTCCGGACCATGAGTCGATCATTCCTACTTAGTTTCAGTTAAATCGGCCTTGCAGAACTGGACTTTAAGTTTGAATTTTGTTGTTTCTTCAAAATGGCGGCCGTGGCGGCCATATTATATTTCTGATCGACCCGGGAAAAAACAACACTGTGTCAGAACCCTGAGTTGATCATTCCTACCAAGTTTCAGTTCAATCGGCCCAGCAGAACTTGACTTTAAGTTTGAAATAGTTTTTTTTACAAAATGGCGGCCATGGCGGACCTTATTAGATTTCTGATCGACGAGAAAAACAAAAACACTTGGTCAGGAAGATGTCAGTAACATTCCCATGAAGTATCAATGAAATTCCTTCGCCAGTATATCAGCTTGAGTAGATAAGCAATTCCTACTTCAGGATTCTGATCATGTGATCGGTCGTCATATCACCTATCAAAAACTGGAAATGACGTAGGCTACCAACGACACTAAACGATGGAATAAGCAGGATAGCAATCAAGCACGTCAAATTGCATTAAATTGCCATCAGAATTTTGACATAAAAATGTAACGATAATAGTCATGAAACCAAGTTGATCGAATCTAAGGCCACAGCCTTTCTGGACTACATATCCTTGTTATTTGCTTAAGCAACATTAAATGCACACTGAAAAATGTACAACAAATCTTTACTTCATACGCAAATAAAATGACTGCAGCTTATCTCATAACATACAATTGTATGTATTACACCACGTGTTTTGTAGCCCGATAAGGAAAGCACTTCTGTTTATTAATTATCTAAAGGTGCAATCCGAAAGAACATCGTGGTTATAGAAATGTAAAGTACCAAGAATCTTAAGATTTTCGACGAACATCCTACATTATTTAATGTCAGAAGTCAAATACCAGTTTGAATACCACGTTTACCAGATAACATGAATAACGATAAAATGTACAGTGTACGTCTTCGCTATCGAAATTAAGCGTATAATGTATCCTTTTTAACAATTCCCAATACCAGTTTGCAGTTATTATATGGATTTGAAGTTGTAGAGATGATTTATTTTTTCTTTTCTGTAATGAATTTTATTTACATATAAAAAATGAAAAAAGGAATTTTGTTTTGCTGAATTATCCTAGATCTCGATTTACATTGTCCCGCCATCTGTTACAAGGGTTTACATGCGAGATAATCCTTCTCCTTTACAAAGGTCAAGCTGGCCTGCGATATTCTTAAAGTGTATATTATCATTGATTTTTAACTGTTTAACAAGTTCCCTTGTAACAAATTGTTAGGGAAAGTAACACGTAGCACATTTCCTTAAACCGTCATCTTAACCTTTCTCTTTGATATTTGGAAAATCATTTAAGTGTTCCTTTTATAATGAGAACCAGTTTGAAGAATAGATTAGCAGATTAAAAACAATGTTCCTTTAGAACGAAGTGCCCAACTGCCCAATCGGTCATTCTCACGATTAAACATTACTATTGCTACTTGATTTTTTAACGCAGTGTTCTTTTTTTGCAGTATTTTGCGATTGCCATCAGCAACGCCAACAAATATTTATTTTCAGTTTTAAACCTAAACATATATATGTTAGGTTGTTAGGTGTTTTCTTGGTAGATGTGATTAAATATCATTAAAATATAGTTAATAATTAATAATAAAATATATATACGTACGCGTGCAAATCTACATACCAATGTTGAAATAACTTTGCAAATTATTTAACATGACAAAGTTCACTTCTCTGTAATACCGAGTATGTTCTGAACGTTTTGTGGTGAGTGATCGCAATGATCATACTAAGTCCTGAGTTATTGATTTTTAATGTTATTCCACTAGTCAATCTTGGCCACCGCTGCGTGGTTTGGTTTGGTATAGTATTGTTTAACGTCCAATCAACAGCTCTGGTCATTTAAGGACGTACCTCCCATGTGTGCAAGATGCATGCATGTAGTGTATGCGTGTGTGTTCTGGGAAGCTGCAAAATCGACGACATTTCGACCCTGCAGATGTTCAAATCGGGACTGTAGCGGTACATTTTGTTCTAATCAAAAAAGTGCATGCAAAGAAGGTTTTCTTATCGAGCGAATCTGGTCTGTTCTCTCAGCGATCCGGTAATATAATAGTGTTTTCAGGTAAAGATTTAGTTGTAGAACGCTTTGTGTGCAGATAAAACCATATACATAACATGCAGATATGTGGATTCAAGAAAAACAGATTTTCATTTTGTCCCTTATTAGACTACTCTAAAAATGAATGCAATTCAGCATACTCTAGTGTGTTCCTTTGCCCTGTGTAGTCTTCTACATAATTCATCTGTTTAAAAAAAATACATTCCATTTGGTAGTACATGTAGGTGTCTGTCGATACTTCGAACTCTTCATGTAGGCGTCCTATAGTTTTGCATTATAGATAATTTGCAGATAGTATTAAGAGCGCCAGTTATAACATGTCCAGCAGGAAAATATTGTATAGGAATGTGGAGCAATAATATGAATAATTTGTCCATATTCCAACTTTTAAGCTTCTACTGCCGGTCCCCACGACAGCCAGGCCACAATTATATAACATTGAGTTCCCTTAATTATTACATATACCAAAAGTTGGGTAGCAGATGATAGGCAAACCATCTCATCGGAAAAAGTCTCAACCGTTTTTCTTATCTGTTATTATGTTGAAAGAAAAGAGGGGTGGGGGCAGATATTGTTACACACTTTTAATATAGCAGTGAAATCATTAGCACTCGTCCACATTTTATAAGAATACTTACCAAACGTAGGACACCAGAAAGAGCACATCCTGAGAATGAGACTCGTTTTGGTACAATATATTATATTTGAAGAAAAATAACAACAAAACTTGTTCAACGAATTTTTCATTTATTAATGATGAGTAAAATATTGTCACAACAAAAGCTTATAGTTTCAATTATCAAATATGATGTTAGTTGTATATAACATAGATCAAAGGTTCATTAACCTTTATTGATATATAACAAGAAAACTTGGTACAAATTGTAGGCATATGGTAGACACTATCAGACGTTCATTGACGTCCTTCACGTGGTAAATAGTGACATCATTTGAAACTAAACTGGCTCTAGTAAAACAAGATGCAAGAGGTTGGATATTGTTAACCTTTAAAAATGTGAAAAGCATATAACTGACTGAAAAGCACATGAATCTAACCATTTTGGAGTGATAATCGGGGATAAAGACATAATCCCTATAAAGAAGAAGGTGAATTGGAAACATATATGGTTTCCGATGATCAAGCTTTGTTCCTAGTCCTCAGAACAAATCAGGGAAAGGTGTTTGCATCCTTGTTCATGCTGATTATTTATCAGAAAACAATGAAACTGCTGTTTAAAAAAGCGCTACATATTGAGGAGCTGGAGCCATTTTATACAATATATTTAATATGAAAACCATGTTTTGAATTTATCAATTAAACAAAAATAGAAAATGTCTTACACAAGCAAATTCATTTTTAGAAAATCGTTAAAAACGGCAAACCAAGATTTTCACAGTGCAAAGCATTTTAAACACAAAAGTCAAAATTGAAGTAGAAAAGTTACTAGATTCTATAGTGAAAACTAAACATCTCATTTCAGTCATGACTTTGAGTAACAAACAAATTATTACAAAAAGTGCAAAACTAAATTTTTGAAAGACGAAAATTATATTGCTGTATTCACAAACAAACCATAAATGAAATACATTTTAGCGTAACCTAACATGCTAGGTAAAAAACTTTAAAAGTGTTCCAGGTACCACCAGCAACGAGAAGAACTCTGTTAAGTAACAAAAATGTTGGGGCAGAAGCCCCATGTCGATTGTTTGTTGAGCTTAGAGCGAACTAGACAGGGTAAAGTTGGACAGTTAATTTTTATTTCTATCTTTACTTTCCTTCCTAGAAAATTGGTTTGTTTGTTTGTTAACGTCCTTGTAACAGCCAGGGTCATAAAACTAAAAGAAGACAGGAGCGATAGAAAACGAAAAAAGAGTCCAGGTGTTGCAATGGGCGGCAACAAATTGTTGTATATAATGTACATTTGTTAATATGCTTGACCATATGGGAGCCGAGTCTCTGACTCAATATGTAATCAAGTTTAAATAAAGACTATTATTATTATTATTATTACTATTTTTGCTCTCTTCCATGTCTCCTTCGTAGAAGACATGGAAGAAAACCCCCGATTCTGCACGGGACCCACAATAAGTCGCCTTCTACGATACACATGCAGTGGGATACAGCAGGTATATGCTTTACTTCTTCAATGTTTCCTTAATAGAAGGAAGGGAAGATACCACCCTTCCATTCTGCAAGGGCGTCAACATTAGTCGCCTCTTTCGATCGTGCAATGAGATACATCAGGCAGTTTCTTTCCCCGAAGCTGCACAGGTTTCCATAAAACAAGTTACAAAGTATTTCGGTATTTCGAATAACGGCTAACTGTCCAATCTTTATTTTGTTGCGAAACTTATATTTTACCTGATGTACAACAAACTTCAAAAAGGGGAGAATATGGCTTATTGGACCTCTTAGATACCATACTTTAATTACAAACACAACATGACAGTTAACACAATAATTATCAGTGTTCTTTAGCTATAATTATTTGGGAAAAAAATATTCGTTTTATGTTCAATAAACATGTCAATTAAACGCCAAAATAATGGTATCCGCAGCATTTGCGTCAATGTACAAGAAAACCCGCTTCTATATATGGATTAAAAATAACCTTCGTAGACAAACAACTCCATATATGTCACCGGCTCAACAAACAAAAACGGAAGAATTATTCAAATATGCTTGTTGTCTAGCTAAATGTCATTGGTTGACAGGTCGATTGACTGGATTTGAACAATCATTCCACTTTCAGGTCTTTATCTTTCCTTCGAACACATGACTTTTAAATGCAGTAACTAGTCTTAATGCGTTAAAACCAGGTTTCGTATATTAGTAAAAACGTGAGCTTATACAAAGAACATAATGATCAATAAGATATTTGTCAATATTCTTGGAAATTATTATGATACTATTTCCATTATTCGAACATATAACATTCTAAGGCAATACATTATTCAAATTCAAATCAAAATCACATTTCAAATCAAGATATACTTTGCAACAACATACAAGACACCTAAATTTAACCGAGAGGATGAAATTTAACTAATAAAGATGTTATGTTGCCATCGGTAAAACCACAGAAGCGTACAAATGTGATAAGTATCAAACAAATGGCTTATATCATAAGTCAAATAATCAATTGATTAATGAGATCAAGGTGGAAAAACACCTATTGATACAGATATAACGATGTGAATTTACTTATAAACAATTACTTTAACGTTCATGCGATAGGTATCGGGGATCTTTAGAATAATAATGTTTTCATACATTACATATCCAAAATATGAACTTAATAGGTAGATAATAAGGTCGGGAGGAGGTTATATCAACATCAATATATTGTACGCAATATTTGCAACACCATAAAGTGTATCCCATTTATATATCTCAATATAATTATAAGCCAGGATATCAAATATAGCACTCAGTCCACCTAACAAACAACATCCAGCATCACACTCGGTAGTGAAATATGTGTATCTATTTAAAAATAGGTTCGATGCTTCAGAAAATAAAGTTATAATTCTTTCTGCACTATGGGAGATACAGGTTTTTTTAAGACTCATTGTCTGAACTTAAGGCCAACCTAGTAAAATTCATAGATTTTTCAGACATATGTACGCACACGAGGAACTTTGACAGGACAAATTCAGGTAGAAAAAGAAGCATAACTCGAGAACGCGATTGTTGTAACGATCTTCGCCCATGATTCAGCCCTTTACATAGATACCACAACCATTTAATCATATCAATATTTGCTTGTTACAAGCCTCAGATCATTATATGGTATTTCCGAACCAAATACCTTATATAAGTAACTAGGAAGTATAGGATACGTTTTTGCACATCTACACGGGTGCCGTTTATTAAGGAACTCATTTTAGATTATACAATGAACAATTCCTCACACCTCTCCAAATTCTCTCATGACACTGTGCAATAAAGGTGGACTTATGTTTGAACCCTGGGTACCAGAACTATCTGATGCATATCACGACCAAAACAATATTTAACTCAACTTTTTAGTTCTGTAGTTTTGATAATAGTATAAATGAATCATGTGAAGAAAAACATCAATAAAAATACCAACAATGAAATAAACACTCGTGCGATCTCGACTGACGAACCTGTCTGAAGCTGTATTTGACGTAGTTTCACAAAATGGCGGCTCTCATTCACACTCGCAACGTCCACGCTCTTTGCCAAAACATTACCTTTCTCGTTCTCTCCAACTTTTCGACATCACTGAATTATTCAAATTTGAATAATAACCGTATTTAACATAAGAAACACTAGAACAAGAGTTAGTACAGTTTGAATGGACACTGTGTCTGAAAATATGTGCTTGATAAATGAAGAAACTTTCAACCTTTTTTAAAACCACATTTACATTAGGGTGTACAAGTATTCTTGTATTCTTGTATTATTTAATGCAATACTGATACTATGTTTGTTTACGATGTATTTGTTAAATGGAGATGTAACATTTCAAAAAAGGAGATATTAAAGATAAAAATTCAATATTTAAACATAATTTAAGTTAAATATGTGATAATTAAAAACTATATTCATACTAAAATGTATTCAATGCTATAGAATATACTTCATTTCACCACTTGTTGTTTAAGTAGTTTTTACAATCGTACTGCAAATCCTAAAGTAAACCAATAGACTGCATCAATCAATGTTCGTGTATAACGGACATGCCCCCGCGATGTGACGTCATTAATTAACGCCGTCACTAATCATGATGATAAAACATATTGTTATGTTTTAAATGTTTTTTTCATGATTATTACAATACAAACTATGACCTAAGGTTAGTACATACTGACAAAAAAACTGTTTTATGTCCAGGGACTATTAAACAGCTTTTAGATGAGGTTCAAAGGCATTATTAAAACCCACCTGATAACAGGTTCATGTCATTTTCCTATAATGTAGTGGGCCTATGGATAACATCTTAAAGCATTTTAATCCCAAACTACTGGAAAACAAAGCTGCAGCACAATCCACATTTTTACAAGTTGTCTGACTATGCCAAATGTATATAAGCGCTGTATAGGAATATCAACAACACATACAGCTGTCATTCTATTAATAAAAGATACATATTACATCAATAACAATAACAGGAAGGGAACAATAATCAATACAAACAAATATGTGCTTGCGTCATCACTTGAGCCCACACTTTGGTTTTATACTGTAAATCAGTTTGATCAACGATCCATTTGTTTCTTTGTTTTTGTCTGTTTCAAATTAATATGATATTTTTGTTCACAAAGTTTAAATGGCTTTGAAAAATGGATAAGAATGTGTCGACACTGTTACGAATTCGTTTGCTATATTCAACATTGTTTTATAAATAAACAACTTTCATAGTATATAATAAATTCCTACGGGTCTTTATATATACACATTCCCTTATTAGACTTTCAATTGCTCAGCAAAGTCACACACATATGACAGAGTCCCATCAAGTTCAAATTCATCATCATCATCACCAATATAATTTCATAGAATCACATTCGAGTTATGATAGCAAACAAAAACAAAACACAAAGTTTCCGATATCAACACCGCTCTTTCACACTGCCGATATTACACTTTACTTGAATAGTCCTACCCAGGATCAATATCAAAATGAAAGATGAATACTATGCTAAAAGCAGTTACTGTAAAGATAAAAATAATCACACATTTAGCTCAATTTCTAATATATAAGGAAGTACCCAAGAGGAAAACAACTATGAAGTGGAATTCTTCCTTATCATGTATGCTATCTATGTGGCAATACTCTATGGTACGTTTCACTCATGGAAATGTAGCTAGGGTGATATTTGGACCAAGTGCTTGCAACACTGCCTCGATTGGCGTCACAACTCCTGCTCTGTACTGGTAATCACAAACATTGGCGCTGCCGATTGCCATTCCGATACAGTGTAAAACCCCATTAATGTCCTTACAAAACACTCCAGAACCTGAGTCCCCTTTTTCAAGAAAGTTTGCACTCGGATGAATTCCTATAACCTGATATTGATCTTTCATTTCTACATCACCCACCCCGTTCGGCAAACCTAGTACAGTCGATAATGGCCTGACGTTAACACCAAACACACTTAAAGCTCCCCTGGTCACGTCGGTTTTACTTCCAAATTTTACCACATTTTGTGTAGAACCTAGGCCGTTGACATCTTCGACTGTTAGCATAGCTCCATTGTTGTACTCGGGCAGTTCGTCAAAGCCTAGAAGAGATAAAATACTAGTATTATACTTGTCAGAAACTTATATACAAATATACTCGAGCCCCATTTAGCCCCTGGTCCCAAGGATGCTTCATATCATATTTAGTTAAAATCCGATCAGTCGTTCAGGAGATAAAGGCTTTTAAAGGGAAAAGTTGACGCCGGACGACGGACGACGGACGCCGCGGTATTGCATAAGCTCACTTGACCTTCGGCCAGGTGAGCTAACAATGCTACAAATATAAAATGAATGGATTGCCTTATCTCAACAATAAACTGGCCATTGCCTTTTAAGATTGATACAAATATGTGAACGTAACCAACGCTGTCTGCTCGGTCATGAAATATGTGATCGTAAGATAAAACATTTTGATAAATTCTGTTTGTATATATTGTATTTTACTTTTTTATGTTCTATATTTTGTCCATTTTCTTTCTATTTTTTGTGTGTGGGGTGGATACAACAGTTTAACATATTCTTAGATAATCAAATAATCAATTGTATAATACTGTACAAAAACAAACGGATTGTAACATATATACCTGCATTTATGTAGCTACTGTGCAGTTCATTGGAGAATTGACCAGCGTCAGGTACCCTGGCAATATCTGTCAACCTGACAACTGCAGCATCAACGCTCGGTGTACGGGTAGGATCAAAAATGGCTCTCTCTACAACTCCACAGGCAACGCCACCTTGAAATTGAGTTGCATCGGTTGATGGCTGTACGACTTCAACTGAATGTGCGAGACTAGGTGTGAAATTCAAAGTATATGTTGGTGAAGGGATGTCAAACAGAACGTGTGCACAGGTGAGAAAACCAAGACTGCCATTGTACCTAACATAGGGGCCAAGAGTACCACCAAGGTTTGGAAGAAGATTTCCCTGTGGGTTGTATTGGGGTGTCAACCGTCCAATATTACAACCCATCTTGAGAGTTGGATGCGGCCACGTACTTGGCTGTGTTATGTATTTACTTTGTTCGAAGAAACCTTCGCGGACATCAACATCTATATAGTCATCCTTGTCTATATATAATCGCCTTGGAAACCTTTCTTCGCCAAGTGGGATGACGCCCTTGGTACTGCAGTATAGGACAACACAGTGTCTCTTCTCAATATCTGATCCATTCCTTCGATATTTTATGTGACTGCCAGTGATAATATTCAGGTTGCTATGTTTCTTCCAAAGAACCTGACGATGAATTGTTATGGCCTTTTTTGTTTTGTCAATAACTTTGTCACATGATTTTGTTTCGATATCGGGTTCGAAAAATGCTGCTTTTTTGATGACGTATGGATTACGGAGCTTCACCGATGCTAGTCCGTTAAAGTTGTATTCCGATGCCTGAACCACAGCTGGTGAATACACAACGAACACCCGTAAGCGAATATTGTCGCCGTCGTGTTGGTGACCTGGAACAACTGCCGGCTGCAGATCACAGTGTTTTTGTGTCAGCCTTTTTGCGAGCTCCAACATAAACACTTGTTCCATTTTGTTACTGAGTTGTATGTTTTGAAAACAACATCTGATATTGTCTTCTCCAGCACATTGTACCAACGATTCTGCTACTTCGGTTCTATCAAAAAACGTTGCTATGTATAATGCCGTTGCTTTCTCGACAGGTATTACCTCAGGTGAATCCCCGAATCTGTTTCCGAAAAATGTATATTGTTCATCCCACTTAATTCCGTTCCAATTTTGCATAAGCTCTACCATTTTGGCAGTTCCATACACAGCCACTGAATGTAGAAGACTGGCACAAGAATCCTCGTTTAGATATGTTGTAGCAAAAGTATTTTCCAACATAATGAATTCGTCAATGTTACGTTCCTTTACAACTTTCATGAACCACTTTGCTAAAAAACGATATACATATGCGTTAATTGCAATTAAAGAATTAAACAAAATGAAGGGATATGTATTCGATGATTTTGGAAGTATATTGTTATATAGCAAACACTAGTCGTAAATTTACCTATGAATATCAACGTGAAGAGAACTAATTATTAAGACGTATTTTTTTCTAAAATGAAAGACAGAGACAGCTAGATAATAAACTGTCAACATGGAATTCCTGCTTAAACTGGGATCATAATATCACTTCAACAACTGATTCTAGGTTCGGTTTGATATCTGATGGCAAGCTTACGTAATCAAAACTCAATGATATTCCAGCATAGTTTGTCTGAACAAATGAAAACCAAGTAAAGGCATACACAAATAGAATCGATTCAATACAAACGAACTCGGCAACAAGTTCATTATATAAACACGTTTATATATTTTAACGGCACTTTAATCTCAAATTCTCTTTGATAAAAGCCAACTTCTTGATCTGTTGGAAATACAGAACAAGTTTAAAATAAGACAATCGAGTTATTTAATTTCCTACCGTCTTTATCAGCAGGTAATATGTTGGATGTCATAGGCGAGTGTAACCCTTTATCTGAATCAACTTCAGGATTATCCAACAGTCCTTTAGACGTATGATTCGTTTGAATCCTCTGAAAGTATAATGCACATATTCATTCATTAGTACACCGTTACAGTGATAACTTAAAATACAGTGAGGATTACTATTATTATTATTATTATTATACGATGAATACTTTTCATCAGTATAATGTGACCGGGCGGAACGCTGTTCTGGGTGCTTTTGGCATGTTAGTCGGCATCAGATCCGCGATATCATAAGGAGGCAAATACACCATCATACCCTGTCTCCGGCACACATACACACATGCATGCATACATAACACACATGGACACACGACCTTCAATGACATCAGCTGTTGATAGGACGTTAAACAATATAAACCAAACCATCACACAGTCTTTCCACTCCTTGGGGGACATATAGGTTCTGAACTGATCCAAACTTCCTAAAACTTCACGGAAGACTGATGCAACACAACTTGAAGATGTAGGACATATATTCCTTTTAGCAGTACATCCAATATCAAGGTGAAACAATGGGTCAAATAAATCTAATTTGAGTTGTTCATTTTAAAGATTATACTGTCGAATTGGATCATTCTATCATTGAAGGAAACATAACCTTTCATTTAAGGAAACATAACCTGTCATTGAAGGAAACATAACCTGTCATTAAAGGAAACATAACCTTTCATTTAAGGAAACATAACATGTCATTGATGAAACAGAACATGTCATGGCATTGAAGGAAACATAACATGTTATTAAAGGAGATATTACCTGTTTTTGGAGGAAACGTAACAAGTCATTAAACGAGACAAAACCAGTCATTAAAGGAGACAAAACAAGTCATTGAAGGAGACAAAACCAGTCATTGAATGAGACAAAACCAGTCTTTTAAGGAAACATAATCATTCGTTGAAGAAAACATAACCATTCCTTGAAAGTGACATAACATGCCATTGAAGGTGACACAACCAGCCATTGAAGGAGACACAACCAGCCATTGAAGGAGACATAACAAGTCATTGAAGGATACATAACCAGTCTATAAAGGAGACATAAACGGTTAATAAATGAGACAAAACCAGTCATTGAAGGAGACAAAACCAGTCATTGAAGGAGACAAAAACAGTCATTGAAGGAGACATATCAAGTCATTGAAGGAGAAAAAAACAGTCATTGAAGGAGACAAAACCAGTCATTGAAGGAGACAAAAACAGTCATTGAAGGAGACAAAAAACAGTCATTGAAGGAAACATAACCAGTCATTGAAGGAGACAAAACC